ACACACATGAACACACACATGCATCAACATAAAACATACACACTCACACACACACATTGTTTGTTTATGCTTTGCACTCACAGATACTTTGCCTTTTTAGCTGTAGTTCTTTTATGCATCCCAAAGATACACAACCTATGCCCATTGTGTCAGCCGTCAGTGCAATATGGCTTGCAATTTTTTGTTAAACAAAAATAAACAACATTTGTTGTAAACACTCGCTGTGAGTGGAAGGCGATGCGGCTTACACTGACAGAAAAATGTTGGTTGATAATGTTTTCAATATGCTCAGCAAAAGTTTCTAGCCATGTTTCTTTAATTGTTTATTTTCTTAAAATATATTTATTTATTAAACTGTTTGCCTTTTGCGCCATTTGTGTACCTCTGGTCACTACATAAAAGAGCCAAGTAATATTGTTGCATTTCCTAAAATCTTTTATATTTTATTGAGCCCATAAACTGCAAGAAGTTTTACCTATATAATATGTATAACTGTATACTTATATACAATACTTCGTAATATTACAATATTCCTACAAATAAAAATGTTATATATTTTATACCGTTTACTAATAATTCTACTTTTTGCTATTGCTTATACTATTTTCTTCTCTTATACTTACTACTAAATATACTAATTATATACTTCGGAGTAATACCTTTCATATTTATACTACGATTTACTACCTATTCTTCTGATTGTTATTTGTACATCCCTTCTTCTACTACCTATATCACAGCTACTTATAATTCTTACTTCTTATACGACTTATTCCGTTTACTACTACTTATTTTATTACCATTGCCTTTACTAGATTTTGGTATGCGGCTAAAAAATAGTTTATGAAGCAGTTTTATATACTTAAGAATATCACAAACAAAGAGTATTTCGCTGGTTGCATAAATTCCCCCTAGATAAATAAGAATACTACATGTTTCTCTTATACTCACTACTAAATATAATTGGGATTCTTTTATACCTTTACTACGTTTAACATATTTTTACTTGATTATTTTTTTAATTGTTGTTTTTTACTTCATTTCTTCTACCACCTATACCATGTCTACTAATATTTCTTACTTATACGAGTTATATGTAGTTTTTTCTTCGTTTCTTATACCGCCTACTACGACAACTTATATTTCTAAAAAGTGCTTATACTATATGTTCTACTTATACTTACACTAATTTTGTACAACTTATAACTCATTATATTTCCTGCTTATTACTTATTACCTATACTGGTTTTTTCTAAGCATACAACTTATTTTACTTATACGTTCTTATACTTTAAGTCTTATACTTTCTACTAATACTTTCTTTCTGCTTATATTACACTCCTTATGTACAACTAATATCTTAATTTATTTCCTACTTTTGCTAATACTTATACTACTTCTTTCTACGCATACTGCTTATATTACTTTATGCTCTTATACTTAAAGTCTTATACTTTCTACTAATAATTTCGTTCTGCTTATATTACACTACTTATATAGAAGTTATAACTCAATACAGTTCTTACTATTACTTATATAGCTTATACTTCTTCTTATTATGCATAATACTTATATTACCTATATGTTTGTAAACTTCACGTCTTATACTTTCTGCTTATAATTACACTACTTATATACAACTTATATCTCAATATATTTCCTACTTTTACTTATACTTATACTTCTTTATTCTACGCATGCTATTTATATTACTTATATGTTTATATACTCGTATACTCTTATACTTTTATACTGTTTATATTCATTCTATGAAAAACTCTCGATGTTTTCACATATTCTCTGCAGAATTACATAAATATACACAAAATGTTGCTGACATACTAAATGTTACTTTAAAATGTATTGCTGAAGCTGACCGATTTTAACACACAATATGAATGGCCTTTTTTCTCACAGTGTACGCGCTCGTATCCATTATGGCCGACTCTGAACACTTAGTTTTCCGTAGGCGCAACACGTGCACCTATTTTGCATACGAAATCACATTCTCCACGCGCTGCAAGTAATTGGCCACAGAATATTATAAACTGTGTAAATGTACTTTACATTTTTTATATGGTTTTTTTGATTTGTTTATTGTTTGTGTTTGCCCTTTGGGCAGCGATATTCCCCGAATTCAACATACACAAACACCTGGCATGTGGAGTTCCCTTGAATTTCTTTTTATCTCGACATAAAACCAGTTTTTATATTCGTGCTAGCCACAGAAGTCAGGTAAAACAGTTGGTCCAGGGGTCCGGCGGGGCAAAACCCACACAATTTATTATGCATTTGCGATTATCAAATAAATATATACATATATGTATATATGTATATATGAGTAGGTATATTATATAGCAATGTTTTTAACATTTGGTGAGCTTTTTATTGTCAATTAGCAACGTCTTGCCATATCATTTGCCTTTACTCGAGTTCGCGCATTACACAGATCGTCGGATATATTCTCTATATCATTCAATAGCCATATCAAATTCTCAAAATGCTAATTAAATTGTTAATTTATTGTTGTTTATGTACATTAATTGCGCACTTTCAATTTACTTTTTTTCAACCTTTTACCTGACTTTTCGAACCAGGAATCTTATGTAAATTAGAATCAGCTATTTTCAATACAAGTTCTAGGAAGTAAGCATAGATAAATTTAGGCTTAAAAATAACTTTGTTAAGCAGTTAGTAAATAGTTTATGTTAATGTTGTAGCTTATAATATATTATTATATATGTACATACTGCAGTATATTATAAACAAAGATAATTTAGCTAGTTGCATATATTTCCGTTCTTTTCTCTTAAAGTTTATTTTTAAAAGAATTTCTAAATGCGATGAACAACAAAAACCTTTAATGAACGAATTTCTAAATGAGATGAACAATAAAATTAGTTTTTAAAACAATTCCTATATGATTTTTGGAATATACACACATTCGAATACTATCTTAAAGCTGTGCTAGTTGCATAAAGATCGGACAATAAACACAAAAGTTATTGAAGAATGAATTTTTGCATAGAATTCGGCCCAACTGGAGAACTTGTGTGTTTATCACGCCCTAATTATTTTATATTATTTATAGCTTTTAGCTTGTTAAGGCATATCAATTGCAAGTCTTAAGTTCCATTAAGACCTTTCACTCCAAACACCATACATTTTTGCAAACAGCCTTAAGTTTTTTATGGGGCATATTATTTGAGTTAAAAGTTAACGCTCCATTGCTAATCAATTACTTGGACAAACCTTGAACTGTCGAGGTAACGATTTAAATATTAGCTAAATATATGTCTGCCACACACACATACATGCCCTTTACGTATATATATGTGTATATGTATTTGTATTTATATTTAAGTTTTTTTTAAACCTTTATTTTCGCATTGCCAATGACAAATTTGCGTGTGCAGCAACAACAGAAGATGAAAAGCGAGACTGCGATGACCCAAAAAAAAAAGACCAATAAAAAAAAAAAGTCAAAGAAACAGAGAAAAAGTTATAAATATTCGATAAGTTATTGACATTTTTTTTTTAGGCCCAAATTATTTTTTGTCGTATGAAAGACCTGCAAAGTCTGGGAAAATTTCTAAAAGAGAAACAGTTGGCAAAAATGGCAGCAAAATAAATGTAATTATATGCCAAATACGTTATATTGATCAGTACACATTCTGCATGTGGGCGATATCACCCAATTGAGTGGAACATAAATGAAAGTCAAGCGTGAATTTAATTATATAATGATCAGCTGCCGCCCACGTCAACCGCAACAACTTGTCGCCTCTCACTGCCCGCTCAGCCGCTCTCTGACATTAACACATTTGAATGTGCCTGAGTCTGCGGAAAAACTTGTTTTCTTTTTCTTTCTTTTTTTTATGTCTGCCATCCAGCTGTCCGCTGTGAAAATTAGCCATGAAAATGTGTCTGGGAGAGATGCCAAGCGATGGCATCTCAGAGCTCAGCTGGAAAGTAAAAGTGCTGCGGCAGCGCCTACTTTTGCTTTCATTTAACAGCAACTTTAACTGCAGCAGCAGCAACAACAACAACTAAAACAACAACAACTGCAACTATTACGAGCACTTTTAATAAAAACAAAAATTACAATTCATTTAGTTGACTTTAAACTTAAGAAAATAAACCAAGAAAAAAAAAACAATATTATTTTTCCACTTTCATATATTCGAGTGTGCATATTTTAAGGAATTTTCTTTTGTAAGCTTTTGCGCTCGTTTAATAGCAATTATTTTAATTAATTAAAGTGTATTTTTCTTTTTGCACGAACTCAATTTTCTGAATATTATTTTGTTAGTTTAAGCAAATCTTATTTTTACTCTGTTCTCTTCAAGTCTATTCTCATTTTTTCTATTCGATCCTTTTTATATTCCATTCTAACTGAACTCTGAAAGAAACTCCATTTTCAACACTTCCCTGTCCAGTGGAAGTTATCTAGGATCCATATGATCTATAAGTCGGGCTAGCTAGAATATGACCCTAAGTAATATCGACCGATCAGTTTTCTGACCTCCTGGTCACCAATTTGGGTTCAGGCGAGGGCAAGGGCACTTAACCATATTATTAAGGCTACGACGACAAAGACTAATGCTATGGGTTCTTCGGAGACCTAAAGCAGGCCTTCGACCGCGTCCGGATTAACAGATTGCTCCAAAAAATTGCTGTCTGTTAGCTTTATATTGGGTGCTCACTGAACCCCATTTTCCAAATCCTTAAATCCCTTTATCCATGTTTTGGTTTCAAACTTGATTTTCTTTTATAGATCGAAATAGTTTGCTAAATATTCCAAGACTAGTTTGGACTGCGGTTAAATTATTTTATATTATTTCTAGCTTTTAGTTTGTTAAAGTATATCAGTGTTTAGCTTTAAGAGCTTTAAGTCCAAGCAGCAGAAATGTTTGTTCGATTTGAAATCTACTTTAGAGTCTTTTACAAGGCACAACCTTCGACAGATTTTATGGGCTGCCTTTACATTAGATTTAAAAAATTTTAGGAATAGTTGGCCTAGTTGAAAATAGATTCCCAAAAAAATCGATTATATTTTATTGAAACAATAAACCTAAAGAAGTCTTCAAATCGGGTCAAGATGCCGCACATTAAGCAGACCCCTCACCAAAAAATGATTGGCAAGGCGCCACGCAAGCCCCTGACACCGAAGGTAACCCGCAAGATGGCACCACCTGGGTTGCCCGAGGTGAGGCAACCCCATCGGTATCGACCCGGTGCAGCTGTGCTGCGTGAGATACGTCGCTATCAGAGGTCGTCGGAGCTGCTCATCCACAAGCAGCCCTTTCAGCGTTTGGTGCGTCAAATAAGCCAAGAGTTTGGCTGTCGGATGCGCATCCAGCCGGCGGCCCTGGCTGCCATGCAGGAGGCTGCCGAGTCCTATCTGGTTGGGCTGTTTGAGGAGTCCAATCTGTGTGCGCTGCATGGCCAGCGAAAGACCCTTATGCCCAAGGATCTGTTGCTAGCTCAGCGTATAAGGGGTGACAAATAGTCACGAATATTTGAATATTCGTTCGTTAGCTGTTTCGAATGCTATTAGTTTCTAGTTCAAAATGTTTTAAAGTTATGATTACAAATTTGATTTGGAGTTAATAATAATAATTAATAATATTACAGATCCCCGCACTATATAAGTAGTTAACTGAAGGAATATGATGCCCAAAATCAATTATTTTTCATGGCTTGATATTTGTATAGTTCTTTTTGCTCAGATGACGGAATTAGCCCGTTCGGACTACTATATCATTAAGCTGTGCTAGGAAGAATAGGTAGAAAATTAATTTATTTTATGAGAAACTTGTTTGTTTTATAAGAGATCTTGACCAAGTCCGGCAATTACAAATTTCAATATCTTCTATTATCCACAGCGAATCACTATATCATACAGCTCTAGAGGAAGAATCGGTAAAATATGAGTTTTTATATGGAAAACCTCCGTTTTTATACCCATGCAGAGGCTAATAGCCTCTTGTGTCATGAAAGAGACATATCCGACCCCATTAACGATATACAGTATGTCAAGAAAATGTTTTGACAAAGCAACAAAATTCATATTTTCCAGATTAATATGCAATTTAAACCACATACTTTTAATGCTTTTATTTTTTACATATTTTATATCGATATATTATTATTCTAGATCAGCATCAACTGCCGAGTTAATATTGCCATGTCAGTCTTTATGTCCGTCTGTCTATTTCTATGCGGACTAGTCTCTCCCTCTTAAAGCTATAGTTTTGAACCGACCGGATCGGAACACAATCTTACATAGCTGCCTTAGAAAGATCATCCGATCAATAGATTTCTGTATGGAAAACTTCTTTGTTTCTCAAGATATTTCGAGCAAACTCGGCATTTATCAGTTTCACTTTGCTCTTCATATATATGCAAAATCTTATCAAAATCGGAGCACTATATAATATATAAACAATAAGGAAAAATACTGTGTTTTTCAAGATATTTTCATTGAACTCAGCAATTAAAAGTTACACGATGCTCACATATCTGCAAAGCCATAGATCAAATGTCAATAAGGGTATTAAATCTTCGGCGTGTCGAAGATATCCCAAATATCTCATTCAAGTTATCTTCAGGAAACAAGAAACAGTTAAAAGCTTTACAATTCTTCTCACTTGCTGATGAGATTTAGAATTAACTCTCATTCTTCTACTTGTAATGAACTTTCTTGTCAAACTAAATTGCAATTGCATAAATAGTTACTCGAAAATTGCCACAGCGTATTATTTCACGACTTACATGATCCGCAGCTCATTGCTATGCTGTGAGCTACGCGAATGAGCTAAAAGTTTTCAGCTGACGCGACAACAATGAATGAACTCACATGAGTCACAACTCCAATGCACACACACTGCACACACACACCACACACACTCTATGTAGACCTGGCTTAAAATGTTAACTCATCTGGCTGCGCTTGTGTGGAATAACCTCAATTTGGTTCACACTGCGCATTGCGACTTCATCATGGCTTTAACTATTTTCATGCTCTTCGTAACGAAAAGCGAAAAACCCAAAAAAAAAAACAAAACAGTCCAAATCCAACCAAATACCACAAAATACAAACCAGTACACGTGCAATTGTGTCCAGCAACAACAATAACAAAACCAATAGCAATAGAAATTTGTCGACTCTTTTTATTGCCGTACATTGGGACGGCATAGCGAAAAGTTGGTCAAAAATGGTAAGGGAAAGAGTTGCTTTAATTTCGTTAATATCAGACTAGAAAAGTTTTCTCAATTTTATTATTGTAGAAAAACCAAAAATATTTTATTTTTTATTAATATCTATATTTTTTAATGGAACACGTAAATTATTTTAAAATTTCGTTGATTTAATTTGTTTTTGATTTCTCGTTGAACTTGAAAAAAACGAAGTCTTAAATTTCGCTCGTTTTTTAATGCTTCAAATTCTCTCCATTTAATAAATGCGAGACCTAACAAATATACAGTCTGCGAATTATATCATCCTTATTGACTTGCCAGGCGTCTTTTAAAGATACGAAGAATTGGAAGAGTCCGAGTGCGAAAGAGATTGCGAATGTATCATCCAATCGATCTCTCAGATCGGTTTTTATAACCAAACTTTTCTAGTTTAACCTCCTTTGTTAGACTTATCTGTAGAACAAGATGAATATAAAGTCAACTTTTTGCTAAATACCTTACATTTTGAAAAGCAAATTAAATGAAGAATTTTCTACCAAAATATATCGAATGTTACCACTGTGCAACGGTAGCTCTCTTGTGTCAGTGCCCAATTTACCAAACGCTATTCAATTTCGTGACATTCAAATTGGCCACGTAAAAAGGGCACAGATCTTCGACTTAGTTGCCTCCGTATTTGTATGTAGCAAGTGGCCAAATGTTTGTTGTTTTTGCTCCAATTTTCAGTTTAATTTGGTCACCATAAACGCTTTATTTTTGTGGTACTTGGTGGACGGATAAGTGTCTGTTGATTGACGGCCTTCAGCTGATTGAATGTGTCAAGATTCAGACAAGGCTGGTCCAAATGGGCTGCTTATAGCAAGATGAAGACATTTGCTGCTGATTATTTATTTAACATATTCTGACATATTCTGTGCTAGAACTAAGTTATCTTTTGAATATTTTTTTAGCTTTAAGCCGAGATTTAAACTCACATACTTAAATTAAGGCTTTAATTTGATCAGCCAGCTTTCTGAATTTTAAGATTTAGAGATTAAAGCTTCTTATTACAAATATAATATAGTTTGCCCCGAGATTTTATTTAATCCACTGATTATATAAAATTTGATTTATATTATGAATTAATCAGTATTTCATTAAAAAAACTTTAAGCCTTAATATTCTGCAGTTAAAAACTCTTGAAGCTCAGTTTAGTTCTTGTTTTCTTGTTCTGAAAGTAAAAAGCTCTAAGCAGTTGAATACGTTAAAAAGCTAATATAAATATTTTGGAGTTAAGTCGTAAAGCTCAGTTTTATTTTTGATTTTTAAGGTTTTAAGTGGTTCGAGCTAATAAATAATTAGACGTCAAATTCTATTCAATTAAAAAGCTTTAAGCTTTTGAATAAAGAACTCAAGCTTTAATATTATACTGCTAAAAGTCTTAAAGTTCAGTTTAATTTTTGTTTTCAAGCCTCTAAACTTCGACGAAACAGTGCTGCGAGCTAATAAAGCTTTTGAATAAAGAATTCAAGCTTTAATATTATACTGTAAATGTCTTAAAGCTCAGTTTAATTTTTGTTTTCAAGCCTCTAAGGTACAACGAAACAGTAGTTCGAGCGAATAAACGCTGCTCCACATATTTCAGCTCCCCTTAACTATTTTTCCATCAGAGATAATACTTTCCAGCTCTAACTGGAGCCACCCTACAAATTGTGCACTGCTCCTGTAAATTAAAAACCAACCCCAAAAAAAAAACACATAAATTGCCTTTCAGTTTGCCGCTCGGTCACACTTTGCCGTTTCATTAGGCAGCATAGATTGAAATCTTGGCCACACCAAATGCAACTTATGGGCCCGGCCAACAGCCATATATAAATATATAAATGTCTGAACAGACGACAAGTCGCGTGCCCAATTTGGAGCCAAACTGGCTCAGTAAATCAAATTTAGTATTTGCCCCAAATGCATACGAATATTGTATCATGTTTTTCTTTCTTTGTTTTTCTTTTTTTTTACTGTACAATTACTCTAATGACAAGCTCTATGGAATTGGTGGAGATATAAGAGATATGCGACACGAAACGAATTCATTTGTACGTTAATGTGCTGCTGCATAATTGCCTCTAATGCAGTTCAACAATTAGACAAAATTGCATCGGTTCCCCTATAAAAAAAGGCCTATTTTGATTGTAATGCTCTATGCTTAACATACTATTTATATATACATATGTACTGCCTTTTCCAGTTCTGTTTCTCTTTTGTCGTTACTGTCGTCATGTTGTAATTGCTTTACACTCTCTTTTTGTTTTGCCATTCACAGTGAATGCGCTACAGTCATGCATTTGGTACAATCTCAGCATAGATTGGGTGAAAAAATTCTACCTTGATATACTCTTCATGTTCTATGAATATTATGTCAAAACGTTTGTCTCTCCTTTTCTCCCCCTCTCTCTTTAAGGTTAATTGTCATGCAATTGCTTTTAATTCTGTTCTTTGTTTGCTTTTTATTGGCTCAGTTGCCATTCACAGCGAATGCATTGTAGTGACACCTCTTGGTACAGTCTCAGTTTAGTTGGGGGCAGGCTATTGTAATATTTATATGGAGCGCACATTTGTCAAATTGATTAGTGTACATAACTCTTTGCTATTCAATCGCACGAAATGCTCGAATTTACTCGATTTTTGCATTTAATTTTTGGTGCGGCTTTTGTTGTGGAGCCAATTTTATTTCTGTGATCAGGCGATTGTGTAGTTGACGCCAGCTGACTTGATTTCGACACGAGCTTTACATGTAATTGCAACTAAAGTAGTTTATGTCAATAAATCATTTCAAAAAAATTTCAATTTAATATGATGCACTCTGAATTGGTCATGAGATGAGTGAAATACTCGTTAGTTTACTGAAAAAAAAAAACATTTAACGTTTGTGTTTATTCAAGTGCTGCCTTTTAATGGGTTATGAAAATATTCAAACTTATTTTGAATTTCTCTCAATTGATTTCTTTTTTCTAGTTAAATATTAAGAAAAAAATAAACGGGAAAGTAAAGTTATTATCAGTACACCGAAAATCTAATACTCTTGTCATTTATTTTTGCAGAAATGTGAGCATAGTGAAGCTAGTAAATGCTCAGTTGAGATGCAAAATATCTTGAAAAACAGAATATTTTGCCATACAATAACCGACTTTTCGATTGATCGTTCCTATGGTAGATATACGATATCTTGTTCCGGTGGGGAGCAAAGGGAAGCTTATAAATGCCGAGTTTGCTCGAGATATCTTGATAAACAAAAGAGTTTTCCAAACAAGAACCTATGTTTCGACTGATCGTTCCTATGGCAGCTATATGCTATAGTGGATTCCGATATATGTACTGCCTGCAACAATGATAAGGATCTTTGCAAAGTATCAAGACGATAGCTTTAAAACTGAGAGAATACTTCACATAGAAAAAGACAGACTGACAGAAGGACATGAGTATATCAACTCGGCTGTTGATGCTGATCTTAAATATATATGCTGATCTGCACATATATGTATATATATATATATATATAGATACTTTATGGTGTCGGAGACATGTCCTTCTATGCATTACACATATCATGACAATATTATAATGCCTTTACAAGGGCGTAAAAAGACTTGATATGAAAATATTTGTTTTAATATCTTTGATTTACAATTCATTAAGGATTTCTTAAAAAAAAGATTCTACAGATTCGTTTGGCAATATTTGGATTTTAATTCGGCAAGAATAAAAATTTGCAAATGTTTGCTAAAAATCTGGCAAACATATGATGCGGTCATGGAAATTCATATAAATACATCTATACCCTATGCCCATAAAATGGCTCAAAACGGTATGTATGGCCGCGTATGTAAAATCAACAGACGAAAATGTTTTATGCTGAATATCTACTC